GGTACAGCCCTTTGAATTTGAACTTCCTCATCTTGGTCGTAATGTTCTTGTGGTGCATAGGGAGGAATGGGAAAGCCTCCCTGGATCTACATTTGGTCAATGAGTTCTCTCATGGCCATGTTTTGGCTAGCAATGTCCCTCATGTTTGTAGCCATGGTGGCCATTTTCCTCGACAATTGAGGGACCATCCTCATGCCACCTCTTCTGTGGTGGTGGTGAGGCCGATGCCGAGCTGCAGGGGCACCTGCCGGTGGGGGTATTCCCATATTTTCTCTTACCCTCCTAGGGGGCACATCCTCGTCTCAAATTATTCTCTTCTGTTTCGATCTCAGATTGTTGCTAAGTTGTGGGGTTTCCACTTGTTCTTTTGCAAGAACAAATCCTTTTTCAAGGGAAGTGCCTAAATATTCTTTTCGATAAGCTTCTTCCACACGGCTGCTCGTGGTTACAGTATAGTTTCCCACAAACGGCGTCAATCTGTTGACCTCAGAATATGTTGCCAACAAATGCCGGACCTACCCGTGCACACGTAAGCCTGGTCCAACACGCTAAGACACGTGGACGGTCTCAAATGGACAGATTAAGGGCGGGAGCAGCTCAAAGGCGTGGGACGAGAACGTTCGGAATTCGGCAAGATATTTGTATAACGATTGTACTTATCGATCTTTGTAGGATACGTATATAAATTAATGTATGTTGCAAGAGAGTAGAATGTGAAGAATGTTGTATTTGTTATTGTATTGAATCTTGCATTACTTTTGTAAGAGATACAAGGAGAGTATTTATCGTATTACAACTTAGATCGTGGCCCTTGGTTAGGAGTACATGTGGCCTCATCTTGTAAGTTTACACATCCAATTATAGGTGTCACATTTGACTTTCTAGCCTGCTACACATTAATTAATCAGCGGCTCTACCACTACGTTGACAAGATAAGGCGCCTGCGCTCTATGATGAGTGTCCTATCAATCCTTAGGGAGGATCCTTATGTCAGACCGGATCTCTGCGAGGTAGTGCTGTTTAGAGCCTCAGGACCTCGGATACAGAAGGGCATCGGCTACGAAATCTCCTCAGCGTATTAGCTTCGGTGGTAGCACTTGTACCACGTTAAGTGCTTTATAATATGCTGGTGCTCTTGCTGGGATGGGGGCCTCGAATAAGATGCCATGTGGTTCGACAGAAATGGACCATGGGCCCCAGTGGGTTGACCAAGTGTGTCAACTCGTTATAGTATCTATAGCCCAAGTGGCAACATCGAATTTCTAGGTCAATATATTTCATCTACACCTTCTCCCCAGCCCACTCCTCTTTCACTCTCCATAAACAAAATGTAACAATTTGGAAGTAATGCGAATGAAGGATCGTTATGAACGAAGCAGTAAGCCACCATTGGAGGCGAATATGGTGGCAATGCATGCACAATACCAGAAAAAATTCTCAATGTATGATAAATTAACTTCTTGAATAATAATTAGAGTTTTATTGAAATAAATGCACACAATTTGTTTCTTGGGTGACAATTTTCTAATTTTTGGTATGTTTTTAGGGGTTTAGCGGCCTGTAGTGCCATCATGGGAGAAAGAATTCCACTCAGGTTGTCTTATTTACTTGCAAGGACGAATGCAAAATTTTTGTTAGAGATGGCCGAAATTTAAAAATTCAATGTAGTGAATTTATATATAAATAAGTTGGCAAGGAAATATAATTCAATAATTTATAACTAATATAAATTACTATTAATAGTAATCAGCAAATAAATAAAAGATTAGCGACATGGTGACAAATGAAATACTTAATAAATATATTTATTGGAGTAAAATTGTGGAGCAAGAATCCAAATATTAGCAAAAAACAATAAAAAATGAAGCCTTTAAAATTAAGTTGGAGTAGAAATGCAATTGATTAAGCAAATAGCAATATGATAAATACAAAGTCAACCCACAAATAGGAATGGAAACCAATTCAAAAGAGGGCCCCTTTCTTGTAAAGGAAAAGTCCACTTTTATGCCTCCGAGGCATATCCCAGTGGTGCAAAGGATAATGGTGAGGTATACTCAGCCTTGCTGACAGTCGCAGTGTGAGGGTTCGATTCCTGAAATATGGATTGAGACTCTTTGTGGGTATCAGTGTACGTCTGCTCTTGTTCCTTGGCCTACTGGGACACATCCCGCGATTGACCTCTCTCAAGATGCTCCAGGGGTGGGATGGTTGAGGACCCTTAAGTTTAGTATTCAACATTTTTTTTTAAAAGTCCACTTTTATGCTTTAATGCACTAGTCATTCCCACTCGGATAGAGGGACAAATGCAAACTTTTTCTTTCAATAGCCGGCCATGAGCTATAGGGAAAGAAGCACTTTAAAAGGTACTTTTGGGAAGCCTCTCATCGAGAAGAAAAAAAGAATAATATCATAAAATTAAATGAAATAGGGTTAAATATTTAAAAATTCCTAATTTCAAATTTATTATTATTATTATTATAAGAAATTAAATCAAATAAATTCAAAAAATTGAAAAAGACAATGATTTTTTAAAAATCAATCCCACGTATTCAAAGAAAAAAGAGCATTCTATATCTATCTTTGCATCCCACCGATCAATTGTCACTATCATTGTCACCTCTTTTACGTTCATTCTATGCCAATATTATTCTCCTTTGATAAATATAGGTTGTCAAATTATTATTTATGATGTTTTATCACGTAGTAGTATATTTTTCTATTAATTTGATTGCACAATCATACAAATAAAATAATTTTGTTTATAATTTTTCAACTATCAATTAAAATAAAATCACATTAGTTAACCAATCAACTAGCTGCAATCAAATACTAAAAAAAAGCAAAAATCATTGACAAAAATAGCAATTACAAAAAAAAAAAAAAATGAAAAAAAAAAGAGGGGAAAAATGGAAAAGAATTGGATATGGACTAAGGACTGGACTGGGATACAGTCCAGTTGAGTTTGCCCTCTAACCTTCTCTGATAATATAACATGGTTGGAGACAAATTTTGACCAACAGACCGACCCAATGGACAGGTAGAGGGGGCCATGCTTGTTTGGGTTGAAATTTGCTACTCAAACAGGGGTCTTTGACAGACCTTGTGACAGGTACTGAGGTGTCTGATATGAAATTTCAGAGGGCCTGTCACAGGCCACAATTTGTATAGCAATTCCTGTTTCGATTTCATACTTCAAAGTCCAATCATTTAGTTGACAAATATTGATTGATTAGGATCAGATTTTCTAAATCCAATTAGAAACATTTGAAATAAAATATTTTCGAAAATCATGAAGTCTCCCGCTAACATTTTTTTCCCTTCTATTTCATCTAGAAAAGTCAATTCAGTGTATTTATAATTAGGAAAAAAAAAAATTCACTGTTAAAATCTCTAACTTCCTGTCCTAGCAGCAAGTTAGTCCTCAAGAAAATGCAAAAGAAATCTTGTGAATCTCTATCTTTTGATCGTAGTTGTACAATCAATTTCTGACCTAGTTGGCAAGGATCAGATTGGTCCTATTTGTTTGTAATAACTATCGAAAGGCGGTTAGAGGTCCAAAGATTGTAAAGTTTAGTTGGTCTCGACCGAATATATCTTTTGATTAGCAAATCTAAGAATTGATGAGATTTCTTTAGAGATTTTCGAGGTTGAGAAGCACCCCTCACACTTCAACGCTAGTAGGTTATTGAATTATAATCAATCTACGATTCTACAAAGGTCTATTGAATTAAGCATGAGATAACTTAGTTGATGAAAGAGAAGAGTCAAATTGAAATTTCCATCTCACCTCACGAGTCTAATATATTAATACCTAAGTATTTCTCAAAAGGTGAAAATGAAAGTATAACTTTCACAAATATTAATAAATTCTATTACATTTACTTGTAAATAACGAGAAATATTACAAATGTTACAATGAAACTTCTTTACTGATATACATACGAAGATTTTACAAATTCTTGGTGCGATTCATTCTGAGAAGCAAAATTCATCTCTATAGACTTGGACGTGTAAACATTACTTGACAATTTAACAAAGTTTAGATTATTATTGTAATTGAAGAAGGATTGTATACTATAATAAATTATTGAGGACTAATTTGCTCTTTTTGAATATTAAGAATGATCCTTAAGAGCATTTTCGATGGAGCTCTAACTAGATTTAAATAGTGATTTATATCTCCGAGTGGTTGGAAAGTTGTCCAATTGAGAGATGTAAAAGAAATACAAATTGCATTTTTGATAAAAAAAAAAAAATATATTCTTTGATCCACAAAAGATTAAATGTTACCAACTCGAACCCAATTTTTAGATTTTTTTTTATTACAACGAAATTTGGATTTAGATCTATCAGGATATAAAAGTGGATCAAAAGTGACTTTAAAAATGTCAATTTACACCTAGCCTCTGTTTGGTAGAATTCTTCACTTTTCTCTCTAACGATTAAAAAATCAATTCTGATAATCACTATTGAACAAAATCCTAATTTTACTACACGATTAAAGATGCTCGAAGCAATAGTACTAGTGGTGCAATTTCACTTTGCACTTGTTTGAGTTAGCTAAAAAAATTAAATTTTTAGTAAATTCTAAAAAAAATTAATGAAATGAATGATTGAAATTTTTTTGAAAATTGTGAATCCCAAAAATATGTAGTTAAAAATGAGTCACGGCAAAAAAATTTAAAATATGAAAGTCAAATATAACTATATAATATTTACCCAATCAATTCCCATATTTAGGCCACGTTTGATATTCATTTTTTTCAAAATGTATTTTTCTCTTTCTTACGTAAATCAAAAAAAATTTCTTATTTTTTAATCACACATTTTCTATCAAATTACTATTTTAAAATACATTTTTACATAAAAATGGCTCTCAATCACTTTCTTAAATTGCATCTTAAAGGCCAAAAAAAAAAAAAAAAAAAAAAAAAAAAAAAAAAAGAAAAAGAAAAAGGGGAGACAGATCATCATATACGAAATCCCCTGCTTTCACTTTAATTAAAATAACTGTTTTAATTTTCTTTCTGTTCCATCTCCACCCTCTCCACGGCGGCCCGGCCCCGCTCCTCTTTCCTCTCCATATATAAACTGTAACGATTTTGTCACTCCGATTCAAACCCTAACCCTAAACCTAAACCCGTTTGATCTTTAACATATACACACAGATTTTCGCGCAGAGAAATAAAACTGAGAATGTCGACGACGTGGAGTAAGCTCAAGAAGATGCTGTCGTTTAAGAGTTTTGGTGGACCGTCTTCGAGGAATTCGCCTCCTTCCACCCCCAATCAAGTGGATTCGGGATCCACGGTGTCTCGCTCTCCATCCTCCGTCATCTCGCCCTGCTCCTTCTCCTCGCATCTCTCCCGTAGCCTCAGTTCCCGCCATCGTTCAACCAAGGTTTTTTATTTTTATTTTTTCACCTTTTAGATTTATTTCTCCTCTTTGTTGATGTCTTCTGTTCTGTTATCGGGTTAGGGATTTGAATTTTCCGGTGATTTAACTGAATTTCGTGTTTTTCTTATCCGCCCTTTTCCCGGGAAATGACGTCACTGAATGTGACAGCTAGTTATACCGGCAGAATGTTTCTTTCATTTCGAAACTGAAATAGATATATGTTGATGTGGCACAAATACCCTTGGCTTTGCTCTTAATTGTTCCGTTGTCCTTTCAATTTAAGATGGTAGTTGCCGTGTTGGTCTATTCGGTAAGGGCTATTATGGTATTTCATTTAATGAAAGCTTGAATGTTACTTTTGCAGTTTTGCTATTAGTCAAATGAATGGAATAATTAATTACTATTTGATTATGGAATCGAGATTATGCTGACAAAGACAGTTGGTTAAATGACAGTATGACCCTTTAACTTTGTATAGTGAGTACTGAAGTCTAAGGTTTAACAGTTAGTTCCTCTTGTCCAAAAGAATTATGGTAATAGAAAAAGCTTCGTCTTTTTACTATTCTTTTTGTAAAAGTTACTACTTTATTTTATTATTATTATTATTATTTTTAATGTAAATTGTATTAATAAAAAATCATGTACAAGTACATTGGGCAAATAAAAAATCTAAAGACGTACAAACGACAAAGTTCTAACAACCCAACGCTAGAGATTCAAAATGAACTAAAACGTTCATGTGTTTTAGTGTATTCTTTTAGTTCAGTTTTGCATCATTGTGCTACTGCTTCGCATGAACTACAGCACTGATACTTTATTGTAGTATTGCAGTCATTATATTTCCCCAATTTTACACTTCTAATTTGGATTATCTTCTTGCCCCTGTTTGATAATCATTCAAAAGTTCTGATGAAAATGAGTTTTGGAACAGTGGTTTTTTTGAGAAGACGTGGTTAAAAAGTCAAAAAAATTTTGGATGTACGTGCTGAATATTTTTTTTGTTAGTGTGTGGTTGAAAATGAATTTAAGAAAAAAAGGAGCTTTACCATCAGTTGAATTTCAGTTTAAAGTTTACTTGTGCAAGTTGTTTGACCATACATTACAAAGTACAAACCCACCTTCATTGCATTATGACTGATAGGGAAACTCAAAAGCTTGAATAAAATAATTGGCAAATTCCTTCTTTATTTAACATCAACTATTATTACAGACAACAATTTATTAATCACATTCCTGCTGAATCTTTTTTGTGGTGCATTGTGTTAAAGGCTATTTAGTGCTCTACCTTTAATCTTATTAAGCTATCTGTTAAGTATTCCATTGCCATTTGTCACTTTGATATGGCTAGGAATCAATGTCACCTGTCGGCGAATATGTACCTCACGTAATGCAATATTTGAAATTTGTTATTGACAAGCTGATGATATTTTTAAATTTTACCTGTAAGCCAATTTCTTTTCTTCTTCATTTGTTAAATTTTTTGACAGATTCATCTTTATGAAATATGAAATGTAACTGCTATAATTATTTTTTCAAAGTTTATCTTTCGTCCCTTGTTGCTTTCGGCTTACTTTTGATGTGCCCACTACACCAGATTCCCTTATGAACCTTTTGCTCTGTGGAGCGCTATAGATTTTAGTTCTGCTTTCCTGTGAAGTCAAAGTAGCTAGTTTTCATTGTTATCTTTATGTTTGTTTTGGACTATTTAAATTGCTCCTTTGTCGAGAGATCTGTTAACCAGTTGGTATTTTGTTGTTTACCAGTTTTGAAAACACGATATCTTGATATAACAGCATAATAGTTACACTACTCTGATATGATATGAATGCTCAGCTAAATATTTTACAAAGTTACGACTTATGATTGTAGTTTCAAATTTTTTAACTGTAATTGACATTTCCTCTGATTGTTTTATCATGGCTACAGAAAACTTGTGCTATTTGCTTGGGAAATGTTAAAGCTGGGCAGGGTCAAGCCATCTTCACTGCTGAGTGCTCCCACACTTTCCACTTTAGGTGCATTGCCAACAGTGTGAGACATGGAAATTACCTTTGTCCCATCTGCCGTTCTAAATGGAAAGAGATTCCTTTCCAACTGCCCAATGTCAGTAGTGATCCCTATTGTAATGCTGCTGGACAAGCCCGAGTCTCTCCCTATCATGCCCCACTCGAAGATTACCCATCCAACTACTCTCGTGTTCTGCAGCCTTCATTAACAACCTTCTCTGAGCCCCTTCAGTACTCTGATGATGAGCCTCTGCTTGCCATCTCTGCAGATCTATCATCACTGCCTTCAAGTGCCCATCCAAATAATGTAACTGTTAAGGCATTTCCTGAATTTCCTGCTGTAGCTGTTTCAGAATCCGTTTCTGGGTTTGCAGTTCTTGTTGGTGTCCTAGCGCCACCAATCTTAGATGATGCTCGTTACATTGATCGTGCACCAATTGACCTTGTCACAGTCCTTGATGTTAGTGGCAGCATGTCTGGCTCAAAGTTGGACCTTCTTCAGCGTGCTGTTTGTTTTGTTATTGAAAACTTGGGACCTTCTGACAGGCTTTCCATAGTTTCTTTCTCATCAAGTGCTCAAAGAATTTTCCCTCTGCGCAGAATGACTGACACTGGTCGTGAAGATGCTAAACGGGCTGTTAATTCACTGTCTGCAGATGATGGGACTAATATTGTCGAAGGACTCAAGAAGGGGGCACGGGTTCTTGAAGAAAGGCATGAAAGAAATCCAGTAGCAAGTATCGTTCTCTTATCTGATGGAATAGATACTTATAATGATACGTACAACCATCGCCGTCCTCAGAACCAGACTTCCTCAGATGCCACACACATTCTAGAATATTTGAACCTGTTGCCTGCTTGTATCTTCCCCACAGGAGAAACTCAAAATGTTGGTCATCCCCCTACCTTCCCTGTCCACACATTTGGGTTTGGTTCGGACCATGACTCTTCTGCTATGCATGCTATATCTAATGCATCAGGTGGAACCTTTTCCTTTATTGAATCGGTAGGCATGGTGCAAGATGCTTTTGCTAGGTGTATTGGTGGTCTCCTCAGTGTTGTGGCTCAGGAGCTTCGGCTCACTGTTAGGCCTGCATCATCTGGGGTTGAAATTGGATCGATTCATTCTGGAAGATATGCAAATGAAATTTCAGAGGCAGGAAGCCAAGGTGTGATTATTGTTGGAGACTTGTATGCAGATGAAGAGAAAGAATTCCTTGTAAACTTGTCAATTCCAGCATTTGCGGGTGATGGTGAGGGTGGCGTGGGGCGGACGTCACTTCTGCAAATCAAATGCTCCTACAGGGATGCTGTATTAAAGGAGATGGTACACGTGGAAGGCGAGATTGTTGAGATATGCAGACCTACGACTTTGTCTCCTATAGATGTGATAGTGAGCATCGAGGTTGATCGGCAGAGAAATCGCCTGTGGGTTGCAGAGGGCATTGCAGAAGCACAACAGATGGCTGAAATGGGAAATCTGGAGGGTGCACAGGCAGTGCTGACAAACAGGAGAGCAACACTTCTATCTTCTGCATCGGCCCAAGCTGGTGATGGCCTCTGTAGTTGGCTCGAATGTGAGCTGACAGAAATTAGAGAGAGGATGGCTAACATGGAAATTTACGAGAACACAGGGAGAGCATATGTCCTGTCAGGATTAAGCTCCCATTCTTGGCAGAGGGCCACAACTCGGGGTGACTCGACTGGACATTCAAGAGTGCTGACAGGTGGTGGGAGTTCAAGCCACTCTGGAGCAATCGGGTATAATACCCGATCAATGGTTAGTATGATTTCAAAGTCACAAAATCTGACTTCTCTGAATCCACCTGACCATGTTCTGCCACACAACAAGTCGGGAAGCTTGACCAGAATATGAATGAAAGCGGCCTGAAAATTTTCAACTTGCGAGTAATAATGCTCCAAGGGACTTTGGACAGGAAGCTTGACCAGAATATGAATGAAACTCTCTAATAATAGATTAGTTTTCCATTTATGAAGTAGTTTGTGTAGAAGTATAGCCTTCTTGTATAAGGTGAGAAAAATTGGTCCAGTTTTAGCAATCTGCCTTTGCTAATTAGCTGTGTGTTTTAATTGATTCTTTTTAGGACTGATTTCATTATTGAAATCTTGAAGGTTAATAAAAGATGTTTTAGGAGTTTTTCCATGTGCTTTGCATATCCAGGTTTAGCTATCTTTCTGATCCCGGTCACTTTGGTTGTAAGAATCTTTACAGAATTTCAAAAGGAAGGAGACGTGTTGGTGGAAGGTAGAGGAGACTGTTGGCTTGGAGAAAAGTACTACAAATATTCATTAAATTACTAATGTTTTTGTCTTAATTTTCAAGTTCATACGGGATACGAAACGAAGTCGAAATATTACATTTTTAATATTATTTTGAAGTACTCACGGTCTAGTATTTCATGTCGTTAATGGTACTTGAAACGGCCAATCATTACGGCGCTTTAAAGTAGGCTGTTCAAAACTAATATTTCAAGAATTTCGATAACAAATTAACTTTAAAAGTTCTTTGACAATTGTAAGCTGGTTGAATTCATGAATCTTCTATATATTCTTGAAATTTATTTCGATAACTATATCATAGTCATATTGAATGATCTAAATGAATATAAAAAAATAGTTAAACTTACGTTAAACGTGTGTATTAAAAAAAGACGTATAACTCGTCTTTTAAAAAAAATCAATTATTTTATTTATGTTTATTATTTTTCTTCGACAAAATTTCTCAATATAATTTACATCATTTTATTAAGAAATTTTACATATA